ACCCCCACCCCCACCCCGTCTCCTCATAACCACCAACCAATCTGCTTTCCGTCTCTATGGATTTGCCTATTTTGGATGTATCAGATTAAAGGAATCACACAAATGTGACCTTCTGCGTTTGGCTTCTTTCACTTAGCAAAATGTTTATGGAGCTCATCCAAGTTGTAGCATTCATCAGTACTTTGTTCCTTTTTATGGCTAAATAATACTCTATGGACATGCCATTCTTTGCTCATCCATTCATCCTACCTAGACTCCTTTTATTAAAATGTTTTTTTATTGATTTTTGAGAGACAGGGGAAAGGAAAGGGGGAGAGCGAGAAAGAGAAACATCGATCAGTTGCCTCCCATGTGCACCCCGACTGGGGATCGAAGCTGCAACCTGGGTATGTGCCCTGACCCAGAATCGAACCAGCGACCCTTTGGTGCACAAGACTACACTCAACCGAGTCACAGTGGCCAGAGCCCAACCTAGACTCTTGATTCCTTCTTTTCCTGCGTGCTTGCAAACCTCGCTCCATCAGTCACACCCATTTTTTATAACTTTTCTTTTGCTATAGGCTCTTACCTCTAAGCTTATAAACATTCACCCTGGCTCCACTCTAACCACTCCACTGACACTGCTCTCAGTAACGGCCAATGCCAGAGGCCGCTGTCCAATGTGTATCTCACTTTATTTTTCTGCATCCAACACGGTTGACCATGTCTCACTTCTTAAACTCTCCTCTTAGTTTTTGATACTTTCACTCTCCTGGTTCTTCTCTTTGGATCCTCTACAAACCTTTCTTTTTCTCCTGCCAATAGAGGCTGGTACTCTTATTCCACCCATGGTCCTTTTCTCTCCTCATTCTGTAACATTACCCTAAGTCATCATTTTCATTTCCACGTTGTATCCCCAATCACTATACTTTAACCCCCAACCTCTCCCCAAGCCCCAAGGCCACGTGTATAACTGCCTGTTAGGTATCTCCATCTGGATATTCCAGACACTTAAAATCAACGTTCCTAAATATGAATTCAGAGAAGAGCACCAGCACCCAATCAAGACAGAACTCTGGGAGTACCTCTGACTCTTCCCACTTCCTTACCCTAGCCTCATTACAGAAGCATTTAGTGTCTGTTCAGTGAAGAACAGTTCTCCTTCCCTGGAAATACCCAACTCTGATCTAAAGGTCACAGTGCTGCAGCCTTGGCAGTCATGTCTCTCCTAGGAATCTGAACCCAGGGCAGGCCGATTTCAGTCTAGCCTGGTCTTTTAAATGGAGAAGATATAGAAACTGTGGCAGGACCATTTTTATCATATAAAGCGAGCAGTGGAAGAAGTTAGTAAGGAGAGAGAAGAATAAAGAAAACACGGAGAGGAGGAGAGAAAAGAAATAGGGAAAGAACTGTTTCCAGGGTTCTTAACTGCATTCTTAAGACAAGTCTGTATTTTTTCCCTTGGCTTCTATGATATAACCCTGTATCTTCACCAAAAGCTTTTATCTGCATCCAAAAAGAGTCCTTACTAACTCCGCTCCCCTACTACAATCTTTATTGTCACTTATTGCATAACCTTTTTGAAGCACAGTTTCTACGATATCATGTACCCCAATTAAAATCCTTCAATAGCTCCCGTGTCTCAGCATGAGAATCCATGAGTGTCCCTGCCCATCTCTCCAAGCAGTCCTTCCCACCACTTAAAGCTCCAGCAACACCAAATTCCTTCCAGGTTCCAGAACAAATCCTGTCATTTTCTTACCTCCATATTTTCATATATGCTATTCCCTCCTCCTAAAATGTTTTTATTCCCCCGTCTGCCTGGTGATTTCTAATTCATCCTCTTACTGTCTCACTCCAAGTGTCATTTCCTCTAGAAAAACACTACAATGACGCCACAGAGGTAACCACTGCTTCTGTTCTACTAATGAAAATTTTATACTACAAGGAAATGCTTGGTGTGTGTGTCTCTCTACAACTAATGTCGGTTTCTTGAGCGCCAATGACTGTATCTTATCCTTGTGCCGTCTTGAATGTATTTCTACCAAATTTTGATTTTTATCTTTCTCTATATTCCTCATAAAATGAGGACAGAAATATAAAACAAACTGGTAAACTCATTTATGTCTAGAATAGCACTTTAGACTTAAGGGGTCTAATCACATACTTATGTTGGTACCACTACCCGTGAACACTTCCCACAGGGGTAACAGGCATTGTTCAAAACGAAAGGCGGCTATAGGAGTGTCACTGAAGTGTTGATCTAGGGTGGGTACCTCCAAAAAATCCTTCACGCGTCCTTACCCGTGTATTCTGGATAACAGATAGTTAAGGGACTCCTGTTTATTTTTTCCTCAAAAAGGTCTTTCTTGTTGAGGAAGAGAATGATTGAAGTGTCTGTAAACCATTTGTTGTTACAAATGCTGTCAAAGAGTTTCATGCTTTCATGCATTCGGTTCTAAAAAAGAAATAAAGAATGTCAGGTCAGTAACAAAAAGCTAAGGTGGATTAACTGTTCACGACAAAACAGATGAACACTTTTTAAAAGCACTGAATGGCACTCACTGAATTAAGTCAGACACTGAGAACACAAAAGCTGGGTCAGTCCTCATGTTTGTAATTCTTGGGAGGTTGGGAGGTTGGGAAGGACTGGCAGACTTAGTCCCGCCTACATACTCAATTGCTGTCATAGTCATATCTCAGAAGAGTTAACAGGGCATGAGTGAATATTCTGACAATCTAATCTCACTGACAAGGGAAAAAATTAAGGATACTAAGTTCTGATTTAGTGAGCACATGGATGCACAGTCCTCCTTAGAGCTGGTTTCCATTTCCTGGACGCACAAGACAGGCTTTCCCAGAAGCTCCGACATACCATCTCCTCATCCTCGGCCAAAACCAGGTCGTAATCACTGAGGGCCACGCAGAAGATGATTGCTGTCACTCCCTCAAAACAGTGAATCCACTTTTTTCGTTCTGATCTTTGGCCACCTACATCAAACATCCTGAGTAAGGGCGGAAGAGCACAAAGTCAGCAAGATCGCATGCACACCTCTCCCTAAATGGAAATGGTTAGGGCATTTCCCACTATTGCATAGTCCAAACCCCATTTGTAATAGAAAAGACAAACAAAGGAGCAGATAAAGCATAGTCAAAGTAATTATCTGTGGTTAAAAGTAAAACAGAACACAAGAAAATAAAATTTTGGAAAAATCAAACTTCTCCTTTCAGAGACATGGGTGAGCCTCCTCTTTATCACAGCTTGTATCAAATGTGCCAAGCCAGCAGAATAAGCACTGAAATGCATTAAAGGAGAGGAAAAATAAAAAGCTGAGTAATACAACTTAAGATAACAATAACAGCCTGACCGGCCTGGCTCAGCAGTTGAACATTGACCTATGATTCAGGAGATCATGGTTCAATTCCCAGTCAGGGCACGTGCCCTGATTGCAGGCTCGATCCCCAGTGGGGGGGTACAGGGGGCAGCCGATCGATGACTCTCTCATCGTTGATGTTTCTATCTCTCTCTCCCTCTCCCTTCCTCTCTCTGGGATCAATGGAGATAGATTTGAAAAAACTAAAAATAAAATAAGATAACAATTGAGTGTTTACCATGATACTAGACACCACCCTAAACATCTTAAGTACATCAACTGGTTTAACCCTCATAACGCTCCTGTAAGTATCCCCATTTTACAGATGAAGAAACTGAGGCAGAGATATGTTAAACTAATTTGCCCAAGGGCACACAACTAACAAATGGGGGCTGGGGATCTGAACCCAGGCACTCAGACTCCAGCACCCAGGCTTTTACCCACAACACCAATATCTCTCAAATGGTTTACCTTTTAGTTGAGAGAACATAAAATATAAATCCCAAATGTGCATTCGCTTCCATAACCTCTCCCTACTGATTCAAAAGTTTGTTTTCCTTACTTTTTTCTCTTTTTTAATTGAGGTATGATTGAGATATGTTTTCTTTACTTAAAAAAAATATTTTAGAAATTAATTATGGAAAAAAGTAAGTTATATTTATGGCAGGACTCTTAAGAACTCAGTATCTAAAAACAAAACTTAACCAATGTTTTTCAACCCAAGTCTTATTTTTATTTGAACCTAATTAATACTAACAAAGCCTCAAGTGCTCACACACTTTATGTTCCATCCAGGTTACTTTTAGTCCACTGCTCCCTTCTAGGGGACTACTTGATATCCTGAGTCACCTACAGAACTCTGTCAACAAGTCCTTGTCTACCTGCTACAGTACAAGCAGCACCGTGTCTCAGCTGGTACTAGGGTCGGAGGATGCAGGCATACAATGGTTAGACATTTTTAAGATGTATGTTTGATGATGGTGACAGAATGTTTAAAGGTTAAAACTCTGCCAAGCTGGTTTAGTTTATCAGATCTACAGTGACTAGGGGTCTGGTTCCAGATATTTTTTCCCTGCAGACACTGAGAGCCGTTAAGAGATAGCTGAGTGATTTCTCCATGTATGTTTGAAGAAAATGGTCATCTTATCTTTTCATGATCCAACTTTTTCTTCTGATTGACCTTGTAGTATTTGTTTTTCAACCTTTGGTCAGATGCCTATAATGATGCAATCACAAGTTGGCTTTAATCCAGGGTCATACTATAGGTTTTAGGAAAGCGAACATCATGTATTTCACCATGGATGTCTTCAAGGGGAGACAGACACTGGTAAACCAGTAATTTTAGTTTACTCCTCCATTTTCTTCTAAAAAGTCCACAAAACTGGTCAAACACTACGAAGTTCCCAAAATAGGCTTTCAGCACATATTAACACTTACAACATCATTCACTAACAGATCAACATTTTATAAACATTACCTCATAACTGAGAGGCAAGTAAGCAATTACACAATGCCTTGCATATAGGAGATGCTCAATAAATGTTTGAATGAATGGATAGCGGTTTGCCTAGAGAGAAGAGGAAAAGGAAGACATGATAGTACTTCACAACAAGGTATCCACATGCCAACAATAACGTGGTGCAGCACCTTAATGAGATCTGGCTACTGAGACTGACAGGAGGATCCTTTAGTAGGATTCACCTAACTAAAGATCAATCTATGCCAACATCAACAAGTTGCCCACACTAAATAAAGGCCATGGCATTAATTATAAATGGACTACCAATCTTCTAATACACACACTCAACTCATTCTTATGGTTTCACGGGTGATAATCCAAATGGTCTCTGCTTTTTTTTTTTTTAAATCCTCACCCGAGGATATGTCTCCATTGATTTTTAGAGAGGAAGGGAAAGGGAGAAAGAAACATCGATCGGTTGCCTCCCACATGCACCCTGACCAGAGATCGAACCCATAACCTGGGCAAGTAGCCTGACTGGAAATCGAACACTGCGACCCTTAGGTACACGGGACGACACTCCAACCCACTGAGCCACACTGGCCAGGGCCTCTGCTACTCTTGTTAAATAAATTCACCAGTTCTAAAAATAAGCAGCTCTTCTATAAATATTCAGCTGAACGGCTATTTCCTGTATTTCCAGGTTTCAAATCTGTTTAGGTATATTAAGATTTCAAGACCTCAGCTGGTATCTAGTCATACCTAAACTGTGTGGATTTCACAAATCCTCTGAATCAATTTATTTCAGAGAAAAGAAAACAGAGGATCTGAGCTAAAAGTCACATTTGTGTGCAACAATGCTCACTATTACATTCTACATACAAGCATAAAGAGGTCATCATATGTTAAAGGGAGAAAGTCTACTTCTAATCTCAAAGGTCACAAAAGCAGAAAACAGAAACCAAAGACAGTTCTAATATTTACAAAAGACCACTAACACGGAGACAAGCTGAAGCCTTTTTTAGAATTATTAATGCTGATAAGAAAATCCTTCGTATTAAAATCCTAGAATTTTTTTTAGAACAAGCACTGTTAACATGTCATCATACTTCCCCAAAATATCTTTATCCCCAGATCAATTTTCCATTCTGCACTGTATTAAAATCTTAGTTGTGCACAGATCAGTCCAAGAGCCATGACCACATTAGCTGCGTTCCATTAAACTTAAAGGGATATGTAACCCAATAAGAAAGGACTGACACTGGTGAGAAAAGCATTTCCATTTTAATGCCAAAATGGTAGAACAAAGCCACAAAATTGGTTTTCTGCCTTTAGTGTTGTTGTTACCCTTCTAAACAACAAACATGCAATACCTGTTTTGGTGGTTCTAACAAAAAAGCAGCTGAAAAGAGTAAAATTCAAAATAAAACACATCGGTAACCAGATGATTACTTTTATTCACACCTAAGTTACAATTTAATTTTGAATTTAGTTCCTCCAAATGGACAAAAATATTTATGCTACTTGGAGAAAAAAGAAACGCTTCAACTCCCACAGTTCAAACATTCAAATACTGGCTGATGGATACGAGAAGTTTCTAAACCAAGAAATATTGCCTAGAGAACCTTTACCCTCATTAAGAGACACTAAAGAAAAGATGTGTGTGTTTGGCACATCCTGCCAAAAGGTGAATGACTTACTTGAAGTACAGGTCTTTGAAGGTGAAATGCGTTTCCACAATGCCTGTGGTCTTCACTCTTGTCCGCAGGACATCTTGCTGAGTTGGAATGTAGTTGGTTTGGGATATTCTATCCAAATCATTTAGGTAACTAAATAAAATACACATTAATTTTTACCTGGGGAAGCCAACCATGTGCACAGCAAGTCAACAGACTAAACTAGCTCCTTACCAAAGGTAGATCTTGAACTCAAGTGGCAGAACAGAATCAGAATCAGTATCAAAGAAATGATAACAAGAAAATGTGAACCTAGCACAGGACAAACAAAGTGATCTGTCTATACACACTACACAAAAGTGGTTTTAATTCTATCAGAATTAGACTGTGAAGGCTAATTAAAAACCAAAACAAATGTGGAAATGTTATTCTTCTAAAGAAAGATTCCTGAAATTGGATACTAATTTAACTTCGCACTGCACAGTCCACAAACCAAAAGCCCCCCGACATTTAAAGTTAATGGGATTTTTGTATGTTTAAACATTTGCTAGGACTTTAGAGAATGGTGTTTGAATTACTAAAAAGAGAACTATGCTCAATAAGAATGAGTATTTCCTGTTTTTATTTATGAAACTAAAAGTTGTGGTTTTTTAAAAAAAAAAATCTAAGCCAAAAACAAACTATAAATACCTTCAAAGAAATTTAATTTGTCAGTTAAATAATTAAAAGACTGCTTCAAAGCTAAATTAAATTCTTCACGATTTCAGGGTTTCTAAAGATTTTTTGGCCTGACAAGTGAAGAACAGGTGGTGCATTGTAAGTGAATCATTAATAAGGAATCAGTCAAGTTTAAATACATAATTAGGGGGGAAAACACTCTATAAATCACATGGCTTCAAGTGTAGTTGGAGGATTCAGAGCTTACTGAATGTCTGATAAAAAAACAATTACAATCTAGCTTTGATGACTACTGAGAGAATTATTTACACTACCAATATTTGCAATTTTAAAATATTATTAAAAGAGGGGCAGGAATCCTGAAATGCTTCTCAAGTAAAATTTTTTCTTAAAGAATCAGTAAGTTTTTCAAATGTCATTTAATTTCTTCTTAAAACAATTTAAGCTAGAATGAGGATGGGAAAGTGGGAAAATATAATACTGGAAAAAAAAATACCTTAATGTTTAAAAGTGTCTTCATTTAGTAAAGAAATGAATACAAGTAACAAGAGCTCACCAAGCCCCCAAAATGCATGTTAAGAACAACATTCGAATGTAGGTCTTACAAGTAACCATGTGGTAAAAGAAGCACACAGGAGAGCATGTTATAGCTTAACCGAAGCATTCATTACAAATTTTCTAAAACTACCCAAGAGAATTTCCTTGACAAACAGATGCTTCAACTTTGTTCCAAGACTCAACATTCCCTTTCTATATAAAGTCTGCTCTTGTGGTCTGGCACGAGATTTCTAAGTGGGGACTAGAACCAGAGAAATCCACAGCGCAGCCCGGCACGGAGCTGGGCGCATAGAGATCCCAGCCCTAAGCTGCCCCGCGGGCCGGCCGCGACGCAAGGCCCGACGCAGACAGAGGGGCTCACTGAGCTACAAGAGACGCCCCCAGTTTCACTCGTCGCTTATAAACTACCACAGAGACTTTCATGGCGCCACGTCTCCCATTTACATTCCCAGAGGAAATGTTTTTCTCCAAGTCATACAAAATGACCTAGGGCTCCCCAACTAAACTGAAGCACCTTTATAAGGAATCCATCGACTTCGAAGAGTGTCTGTCACTTCCCCATTTCCCACTATTAAGGAGGGACAATGAACTTCCTCCAGAGTCACCAAGTTATTTTCCGTGACTTCAAGGGAAAGATGACTTACTATGAGGCAGAGTCGTTGAGCTGGTACTCCCTGGACCTGCAGAAGCACGCCTGCACGCCGCCATCCTGCCAGAGCCGCCGGATCACTCCCGCTAGTTCTGGGGTCATGACTCCTTCCTCGGCGCTGCCGGCTAGGACAAATAACTGCCGAGCATCATCCTGGAGAGAGACAGGTGATCTCAGTTCTTAAAGACTCGGCAAGTCTCTTACACACTTACACACACACACACACACACGCATTATACGTCATATTATTTTTAAAGAGGCATTAAAAAGACCTTTGCTGGCAGGGCAGTCCGAGAATTCACAGTGAAGTCTCATCCCTTCTCCTCTATAGTCAGAAGCAGAGGTGAGCCAAGGAATGAATGGTTTCACTCCCCCTACCCCTACCCCCACCCACTTCTCCACAGACCACCATCCCCTGCAAAGATCTCTTCTGACTGGCCTACAAATCTCCATCCTGATTACTCATAAATTATGACAGAAAAAAACTGGCCTGTGAGACAGACACATGTAACTCATTTGCATTCTGTGCAAGGAAGCCTGCAATGAAAACTAGCACATAAGAGGTAACGTCTACATGCGTCAAAGGGAGTAAAGAAAGTAAAACAAGTTTAGGGAAAGAGTGTTCTCTTCTTTCCCCTTCGGGTCAGACAGGAACAGGAAGAAGTGGAGGCTGGGGCATTTTAGAAATCTGGAAGCCTAGGGGGGGGGAAATAAATCCCTCAAGGGAAATTTCAGTGTCTAGATTTCCCCACAGGAATAATAACCCTTTAAATAAGACAGGGGGAAAAGGCAGCAGGAGGAAAAGAGAGTTATAAAGAGAGATTTGACCAAAACTTCATGAGTCACAGACACAGCTTTATAAGATTTTAAACCTAAAACATGGGAGGGGGAGAGAGGACCAAAAGGGGCTGAGAACTGTGACTGTTTTGCTTTGTTCTTCTCAGCCTGAATTGTCAGATCGTATAAAAACGAACACCAGTCTCATGGGATGCTCCCCACTAAAATCTAATATCTGCCTCTGGAGATTTCCAATGGACTCTGCAAATGCAGATACTAAAAAGTGTATCTGGGTAAAGAAAAAGCGAAGGGGGAAGGGGAGCAATCAATTGTATCACAGTGGCCAGCAAAGAGCATTTCCGACCACACATGCAATCACAGCCAAATCCTCCAAAGATGTGTGTGTCCACCTACGCAAAGCCAACCAGAGTACACTTCCATTAATTCTGCCAAACTCAGGCTCTTCAGCCTTAATGGTGTTTGCTGAGTAATATTCCTCCTTTAAGATCCTTTCTTGTATTTTTTACTGCATTTTTTTCAGGCACAACTCTCTCTAAGAAACTTTATCTAATACCTGAATTGCCCTTCTCTTTTTGCAGAGATAAATATTTAACATAAATGAATGAGAAAAGCTGAAAAATTACATAAATTGGCAAATTCTAAACAGTGAGCAGCCCCTTCTATGTAGATGGTATAGTACTTTGTTTAACATTGGAAGACTTCATAGTCCCTTGGTTCTGAAATTTGATCTCTAATCATGCAGATATTTTAAAACCTCAATAAGCATTACTTTTTAAAATATAATACCATGATTTTAATTTTGGAAACTTTAAAATAGAGAGAGAGCCTGGCTGGTTTGGCTCGGTGGTCACAGCATGTGGACTGAGGGGTCCTGGGTTCAGTTCCAGCCAGGGGCATGTGCCTCAGTTGCAGGCTCAATCCCTAGTTGTGGTTGGGGCGTGTGTGGGAGGCAACCAGTCAATGTGTCTCTCACATTGTTTCTCTCCCCCACCCCACAGTCTGAAAAGATATGGAAAAAAATATCCTCAGGTGAGGATTAAAAAAAAATAATAATAATAATAATAAAAAAATAGAGCGAGAGAGGGAGCTATTGCTACGTAATTTTGCTGTCCTGACTTTGTAAACACTGTTTTAAGAGGAAACATTGTCCCCTTACCACTTAATCTCTTCCACTGACCAATCTGGCTTCCCCACAATAAACCTTCTTTATAAAGGTCTGTAAAGATGCCTCTCTCTCTGCAATGAACTTCACACTTTCACCCTAAGCAGACATGAAAAAGCCACCTGTCCCACACCCAACTCTATTCTTTTCCATTCACTCTCTAACCAACCATAAATAACTTGAGAAGGATAATAGAGGAGTTATAAATATAAATTCTTACACATAAAAAAAAAAAGAGAGAGAGAAGCTTCCATTCCATAGCCTATAGTCCAATCTAGTACAGGAATACACTCTTCTTGAGTATATGAAAATTGCCCCTAAAATTCAGACTTGGCATTCAGTCCTTACCAAGTATATACTGGGTGACCAGTTTCTGCCTTTAATCTCTACACCTCAGAAAGCAGACTACATATCATGGCAGCCTCTTTTACATCATATCAATTTACTATCATTTGCTACTATAAAATAATAAGCAGTGCTGTAAATGAAGCAATGAATAAGTTATCCCAGAAACTTCTACTGTATCCACAGGACCCATTTCCTACACTCCTCTTTGTGTGGTAATCTAATACCTCCTGAACAGATTGCTAACACTTCTCAGATGAGCACATAGTACTTTGCTACATCTTATCTTGTTGCTTAAATTCATTTCCCCAAAACACGAAGCAAATTTTGCTTAACTGCATCTACTGAAAAAGAGCAAGAGAAGAGGAACTGAGAAACACTTACTGCTCTGGCAGCTTCCCCAAAGTCAATCTTTAGCCTGCCCATGGCCCTTATGATGGCAATAATGGACTGTATGGTGTTGCTGTAGACAACTACTTTATACTGTTTACATTCTTCCTCTGAGTAGCCGTCCTCATGAATGATTCTTTGAAAAGAAGAAAAGCACAAATCATTACCATGGACCTAAATGAAAAGATGCTATGGACTTCCGTGCATTATGAGGAAATGCAGTCTTACAAAAGGCCATGTCTCAACTTACTTCATCTGTTTCACGATGGTGCTTTTACCAGATTCTCCAGCACCTGAAAGGAAAGAAAACCAGACTTTGAATTCACCTAGAATCAAACACAAAAGCATGAACTCGACATGAGTGGTAATTCCAGATTAATGGAAACCACAGGTCCCAGGGAAACTTTGGTGAGGTTTTCTATCTATCAGGAAAAACCACTGAGTTTCTCCATTAGAGTTTTTTTCTTTTAACTTTCTTTACATAACTCAGCAACCAAATAAAATTCATTGAAAGTATCCCAGGGACACAGCAGGCAGTCGCTAGGAGATAAGCCAAAACCTCTAGGAACTCATCCTGTACATGAAACAGGATATCTACACTGAACATGGCAAAAATGAAATAATTTGTTTTTGGTCTACTCACTTTGATTAATTCCTCTGTCAATGCCCCATGGACCTGAGGAATGTTCTTAGAGCAATCCTCTCAGCCATGGGCTGGAGTTCAAAATAGAAGCAGAAGAGCACTGTCCCCAGCCCTTTTTCACTCTACACCCCCCATGCTGACCACAGTTCCCTCCTCATCCAGGTAGAACCACTTTAACGACCACAAGTGTCAGATGGGCCCTCTGAACTTGACATTCCACCTGCATTTTCCTAGCCAATTCATTCTCCCACCTTCCAAGATGCCTGTTTCATGCTACCTCCTCTCTCTCAAACCTTACAAACCCCTTCCCACTTCTGACTCTCAGCTGATGATCCTGCCTCTCTTTTTTTGGAAAAATTAAAGCACTCAAAAAACAACTCACTTTCCCATAACCAAATCCACCAATCTACCTGTGCCTCCATGAATACTCTCTACCTTCATCAAAGGATGAACTGTCTCTGCCAATGTCTAAGATAATGTCCTCAATTGTGCACGTATCCACCTCATTTTATCTACTCAAGGTCTTGGCTGCTAGTTATCCCATGTCACTCAAATATCACCGAGTTTTCTCTTCCCACTGGGCTACTCTCATCAGTATACAAACTTACTGTATTACCGTCCATCTTAAATCAACACACCCCACTCCTTCCTTCCCTGGCTCCACTAATCTTCCTCTAGCTACCACTCCATTTTTTCTCTTCCTCTTTATATCTAAACGCCTCTGAGTTGTCTATACTCATGTTCTCCAATTCTGTGCCTCCAGTCCCTCTACTTAACCCACTCCAGTCAGGTGTTCATACCAACCACTATACTGAAATCACATGCCAAGGCCTCCAAAAACTTCCATCTTAACAAAGCCAGTGGTTAATTCCCGGTCCTCCTCTTACTCAATCTCTTGTCCAAGTTGATAACTTCTCCCTTTGAAATATTTTCTTCACTAGGCAGGCTTCTAGAGCCCACATCCTCCTGGTCTGACTCCTGCCCCACTCCCTCTCAGTCTCCTCCCTCCTGCCTCTGAATTCTAAAGGCTGTTATTATTTCCTTGGCCCTTTCCTCTGTCTACATTCATTCTCGAGGTTGCAATAACCCTGTGTGGTAGATACTATTATTAACCCCCGTTTATACATGAGGTAAATAAGGCAGTGAGATGTCAAGTTACCTTGTCCACAATTACAGTCAGTAAGTGGCAGAGCTAAAAATTTGCATGCACTCGCCCAGCTTGGCTCCGAAGTTGTTGTATACTGCCTCTATGCTAATGATTTCCAAGTTTACATCTCTAATCTTGGCTGCTAACCATGGCTCCAGACTCCTATTATCTAAACCACCTACCTGATATATGTATCTCATTAGATTTCTATTTCTCAAACTTAAAATGCCCAAAGCTGTTACTTTCCCCACCTTCCCACCAAAGCCTGCTCCACCTTGTGTCGTCCGTCATCTCAGTAAATGACACCAGCACTGACTCAGTCGCTCAAGCTAAAAATGGTAAGTGACAAATAACATACAGATGAAATGTGAATGCCAGTACCAATACATAAATCAAGTATTAGGAAACTTTATTTAAATAAATACATAGTTCTAACAGGTTCTTCTTGCACCACAGTAGATGGTCAGCACAGTGGAAACCACAGGTGATCTCTGCAAAGGCTTCGTAAGTGCTCCAGTGCTTCAGACTGAGACTTTCCCATGGTCAGTATTCCCCTCAGGAGCAGGAATGACGTTTGTAAAACGGAAATCAAATCGTGTACAACTCTGCCCTCAAATTCTCCTACGGCCTCCGATTACACTCCAAGGAAAATCCCTGGGCAGGAAGGCGCACTGCACTCTGGCCCTGGCCTGCTTCCCTCTTCACCCCGACCCCCATCTTTCTCCATTTCCTTCTCTCTGCTCTTGTCAGACCAGCTTTGTTACTTCTCCTCCGACATCCCACACTGGCTCTCAGCGAGCTTGATCCTGGCTCAGGTCTTTGCAAAACTCACTACTCCTCTGCTGGAATGGGTTTTCACAAAATCTTCTTCCTTCAGAACACCTTCCCTGACCAATGTACCTAGAAAGCCCCACCCCACTGCCCTCGCTCCCCTCGCCCTGTGTTATATTTTCTTCCAAGTACTTGTGACGTCTTCACTTAACAGATTTGTTCATTTCCTGTCTTCTCCACTAAAACATAAGCTCCGCGAAGGTTTACACATGCCTGTATTCCCAGGGCCTAAAACTGGGCCTGACATAAATCGGTCATGCAAATAAATATTGCTGAACAGATAAATGACTAATGTATAATACGATGATTGTTTACTAAATATTTCTCAACTCTATTAACCAAAAATGTTAGTTAAAATAAAATTCAAGTAACTTAAAAATTCCAGACGTCTACATTTTTACAGAATCAAAAGGGATATTTACATGTGACCTCATCTCTGTTCTTATCACCTAATCAATAATGAGGGGCAACACTAAAATAGTTAACATTCAAGTAGCACACAGAGAACTTTCTAATGATACTGTTAAAAAGAAGTGATTTCTGCCACGCATATCTTTTAAAAAAAAACACCCTAATGAATCAATTTCTATTCTGGGGAAGGGAAGAGAATACAAAAGCATACCAGTTATAGTTTTAATAATTTAACACAGAATTCCAAATTATTCCCTGTTAGCAACAGCAGCTAAATTAACTAGGAAAGGCAGAGATTAATAAAGTAATCTGCACTATTCTTTTATATATTAAAATGAGCATTTCTACCACTTATGTTGGATTATTTTGAGTGAAATAATAACTATTAATCTCAGAGTCCATTTCACCCATCTCATTAAGTTCTACCCTATAAAGGTGCTGATTAAGATATGTATGTAAATATGCTGCCCTATCTGTTTTCCAAGGCTCCCCAATACAATGTCAGTCTGTCCTCTTCATTATCACACTATATATTTTTATACATACATACATATATATATATATATATATAT